AGGACAGAAAATAGCTTATTACTTTTAAATGATTATGTTTTTTGATGTAAAAAATCTTGATAACATTATAAGTGGACCTCAGAGAACAGTACAAATTAAAAAACACATTTTACCATTGTCATGGAATCACTGGCTCCAGCTATTTCTGCAGCTTTTTCCAGGATCTATGGGAGAAAAAACAAACAAACAAACAATTATACATATCAGAACATCCGGTAACATGACAAGTGTTGCTTCATGTTTGATTATGAATGTCTGTAGTGTCAGACCCAGATGGCACACCAACGGATAGTTCACTAACAGTCTAATGCACACAAAAAGCTAAGGACTTGCTAAAATCAGTTGTTTGCCTGACTGCCAAGCAACATCCAGATGTGAAAGTACACATTTTTATTTTGTTCAAGCACGGTTTTGTTTGAAACTCTCAGCAGAAAGTCAGTCTCGCATAACAGGACTTTTGCAAGGATACACCAAAATTTGGTCACCGATAAAATGGAATAGAATAAAATTCCAATACAAAAATGTTTTTTCTTTGAGACTGCCATGTTATTATTTTGTGTTTTTTTTTTTTTACACGTTTATACAGTGGGTACAGAAAGTATTCAGACCCCCTTCAATTTTTCACTCTTTGTTATATTGCAGCCATTTGCTAAAATCATTTAAGTAAATTTTTTTCCTCATTAATGTACACACAGCACCCCATATTGACAGAAAAACACAGAATTGTTGACATTTTTGCAGATTTATTAAAAAAGAAAAACTGAAATATCACATGGTCCTAAGTATTCAGACCCTTTGCTGTGACACTCATATATTTAACTCCGGTGCTGTCCATTTCTTCTGATCATCCTTGAGATGGTTCTACACCTTCATTTGAGTCCAGCGGTGTTTGATTATACTGATTGGACTTGATTAGGAAAGCCACACACCTGTCTATATAAGACCTTACAGCTCACAGTGCATGTCAGAGCAAATGAGAATCATGAGGTCAAAGGAACTGCCTGAAGAGCTCAGAGACAGAATTGTGGCAAGGCACAGATCTGGCCAAGGTTACAAAAAAAATTCTGCTGCACTTAAGGTTCCCAAGAGCACAGTGGCCTCCATAATCCTTAAATGGAAGACATTTGGGACCACCAGAACCCTTCCTAGAGCTGGCCATCCGGCCAAACTGAGCTATCGGGGGAGAAAAGCCTTGGTGAGAGAGGTAAAGAAGAACCCAAAGATCACTGTGGCTGAGCTCCAGAGATGCAGTCAGGAGATGGGAGAAAGTTGTAGAAAGTCAACCATCACTGCAGCCCTCCACCAGTCGGGGCTCTATGGCAGAGTGGCCCGACGGAAGCCTCTCCTCAGTGCAAGACACATGAAAAAACACCTGAAGGACTCCAAGATAGTGAGAAATAAGATTCTCTGGTCTGATGAGAACTTTTTGGCCTTAATTCTAAGCGGTATGTGTGGAGAAAACCAGGCACTGCTCATCACCTGTCCAATACAGTCCCAACAGTGAAGCATGGTGGTGGCAGCATCATGCTGTGGGGGTGTTTTTCAGCTGCAGGGACAGGACGACTGGTTGCAATCAAGGGAAAGATGAATGCGGCCAAGTACAGGGATATCCTAGACGAAAAAACCTTCTCCAGAGTGCTCAGGACCTCAGACTGGGCCGAAGGTTTACCTTCCAACAAGACAATGACCCTAAGCACACAGCTAAAAAGACCTAAAAATGGCTGTCCACCAACGTTTACCATCCAACCTGACAGAACTGGAGAGGATCTGCAAGGAGGAATGGCAGAGGATCCCCAAATCCAGGTGTGAAAAACTTGATGCATCTTTCCCAAAAAGACTCATGGCTGTATTAGATCAAAAGGGTGCTTCTACTAAATACTGAGCAAAGGGTCTGAATACTTAGGACCATCTGATATTTCAGTTTTTCTTTTTTAATAAATCTGCAAAAATGTCAACAATGCTGTGTTTTTCTGTCAATATGGGGTGCTGTGTGTACATTAATGAGGAAAAAAAATGAACTTAAATGATTTTAGCAAATGGCTGCAATATAACAGAGTGAAAAATTTAAGGGGGTCTGAATACTTTCCGTACCCACTGTATATACACTGTAATTATGTAATTAATAAAGTACCTAACAATACCTAATAATACAGAACCTAACAATAACATTTGTGATCATAAATATGATTTATTCCCCAATTGTCATTCAGCATTACAGTAAAACGTCTCAGGTTACGTATGTAACCATGGTTCCCTGAGAAGGGAATGAGACACTGCATGCTCTAGAGCAGTGAATCTCAACCTTTTGGCGTACCGGACCCCAGTCTAATTCAGAACCATCCTCAAGGACCCCCAGAACAAAACTGACTCCTCTATGTATCATTTGTGTCTTTGTGAGGACCAAATGCAGTCAAGTATAATTCAAGTTAGTTGACTTGTCCAGTATTTGGCCATATCATCAGCTATATTATATATATAAATATCCAATATATAGCTATCCACGGACCCCTGGTTGAGAAACAATGCTCTAGAGGTCACTATGGGGAACGCCTTCAGCGTGACCGGTATCTGAAGCATACATCTAAAAACAATAATAACATTGGCCAGTGAAAGCCTGTGACGTCATCACCCGGCGTGACCACAGTATAAAAGGGCGCAGAGAACACGTCATCCGCTTTTTCGTCTGAAGATTACGTCCAAAGCACGGCATTCTCAGGGAGTCATGGTTACATACATAACCTGTGACGTTCCCTTCCGAGGGAACTTCGAACTGCGTTCTCAAGAGGTCGCTATGGGGAACGGTATACCCATGCTGCCATGCTAAGGGGAGTGCATGCCAGAAACTAGGGCTGTGTATCTCCAGCAAAGTCACGATACAATACGTATCACGATACAGAGGCCACGATACGATACGATACTTGACTGCACTGAATTTCACCTCAGCAGAATTTAGAAAAACAGCTGTTTATTAAACACTGCTTACTATAGTGCCATTTCTAACTATTGGCAGAGCAGGCAGTTGACCTCTGCATTATGAAGGGCCTCCATAACTGTACCACAGTACAATATAGGTAATGCCATATGTTTCATGTTTACATTGCTGCCCCGCAGTTTTATCAACTAAATAGTTTAATCGCTCAAGAGCTACATTATCTTTCTCAACAAGGAGCTGGTAGCATCATTGTTTCTAAAGGAATTAAAGCCACAGCTTTACTGTTAATAGAGAAACGCGGCAAAACGGTGATAATTCATACATACACAGCCTCTCTCTCTCTCTCGGTGTCGTAAATGAACACTTGATGAATTACACTTTTCTGAGAATAGAATATTGAAGTGGAGATTGCTAAACTGCAAGCTAACCGCTGTTTTCAGAAAGCAAGCGCGTTTATCCACAGTGGAGAGAGAGCGTGTGCACATGGTTGCCAGGTTGACAAAGATAAGTAGCACACTTAGCATATATTTCCGTATTGCATGTGTAAAGCTCTGTTTCGGGGATTACGTCTCTTTATATCAGGCAACCCAGTTGTGTTCCTCTGCGGCCAGATTAAACTTTGTTGTAGCCTATATATGCTCTATTCATTCTTTTTTAGAAACCTCGCACTTTTCTGCTCAATTTTAAACGTTGTAAAATTTTAAACCGATTAAGCGTGGTCCACTGCTGCACACTTACCACAATGTTGATTTTAGAAAATACAGAAGCTCAGCGTGTGCACTTACCATAGCATGGATTTTGAGACACCATTGCTTAAGGGCTAACCGAAGCGGTCATATGACCAGCCTAGGAACCCTACGTGACTGTGGCACGCTCACAGAACAGACCCCGGAGCATCTGCTCACAGATGCCCAGAAGGGAGCGGCGTGCTTGCAAGAAGAACTTCATGGTGAGGGGAGCACAGCTAGCTCACTTAACAAGCAACCCGCCAGGGAGGCAGAAGATGGCCCAGCAGCCTGGCATGACTGCTATCCAGAGCTCAAAAGAGCGGGGGCCCAACTTCAAAAATATAAGGGGGAATAAGACGCTCAATTTGAGAGCAACGTGCACTGCTGAGCTCGACCAATAAGGAGAGCTGCTTAACATGGAGGCGGAGAGAGGCCTAGCAACCTGAGGCTGCTACTCAATGGAGCTCAAACGAGCGGAGGACTCGAAGAGAGAAGTCTTCAGATGCTCAATCGGGAGTGGCAGGCTCAAAGACAACCCTCAGAGGTGAGGGGAGCACTGCCTGGCTTGACCCAAATAGAGGCAGCTTATTAGGGAGGCAGCAAGCAGCCCAACTACCTGATATCACTGCCCCGGAGCTCAAGAGCGGAGGGTTTAACCCCTAGCGAGGAGAGAGAGGAACCCAGCTTTACCGAAGCGATCAATAGCCCAGGGTCAGAGAAGCTCTCAAGTCGAGAGGAGGACTCAGACAGTCTGCCCAGGACTGTCTCAAAATGACTCTGTGAGGGGAGCGCAGCCATGTCCGGGGAGCAGATAGAGCACAAATGGAACATCAGAAATGGGATCCTGCTAGAAGGGGATCACACATTTCTACAGGGAACAACAGGGTCCTAAGATAGAGGCAACTGACCAAGGAGGCGACAGAGACGGGCCTAACAACTCGGTTTCGTTGCAAATGGAGTTTTAGGGAGCAGTGCTCTCGGCTCTCAAGCTGAGGCGGACCCTTACAGCACATACTGGGAGTGACTCATAGCTAACCCTCACAGTGAGGGGAGCACTTCTTAGCTCAACCAGAAGGCGGCACTAGATTAGAAGGGTTAACCCAGCAGGGCCCAATAAGAGACCGTCAACTGGTGCAGCTTGACACAGTCTCATGCTCTCTATCTCGATAGAGAGCGTGGGCCCCGGATAACCAGACCCTAGGGGTGTGCGATATGATGATTTTTGATCGTGGACGATAAAAATGTCTCCACTGTCTGCTTTTGAAGAAATATCATAGTATCATGCTACAGCGCACATTCTATCAGTTGCAGTTCTGGCGCCTCCGTCATATACTGTACAACGCAACATGCATTCACATCAGTGTTAAAGGAGACATATTATGCCCCTTTTTACAATATGTAATATAAGTCTCTGGTGTCCCCAGAATGTGTCTGTGAAGTTTCTGCTCAAAATACCCCACAGATCATTTATTATATCATTTTGAAAATGCCTATTTTGAGTGGAAGCAGAAACACGCTGTTTTTCGTGCCTGTCTCTTTAAATGCAAATGAGCTGCTGCTCCCCACCCCCATTTCCAGAATAGAGCTGCGCCATTACAGCTCGTACCTGCTAAATAAACATCTCTTTTGGTTCTGATTATCATGTTTATCGCGCTGAAATCATGCGTTTTAAACCATATTGGTTTAAACTTCCTATATACGGTTTTCTGAGTGCACACATCCGAAGCACACGTACAGAAAGTGGCTGTCACAGCATGCTCTCATTCACACACACAAGTTTACATTAAAAACACACGAGTTACAAAAACAGTCTGTTATATCTATGAAGGTAAACAGCTGGGAAATAAATCGCATGTTTATTTTAGATCTGTGTGGCAGCAGCAATACACAGTAAATAAATCAATAAATCGACTGCTCTCTTGTCTCCTCTGAGGCTGGGACTCCAAATAGTGTTTTGTGCTCATCTGTGCAGCCAAAGGCAGAACAGTTAACATGTTTTGCTCAAACTTTCGCCATGGCATTAGAGCTGGTACACCGTTGCCGCTTGCAAAATCAAAATGACGGCGCCGTGGGTGGAAACGTACAGATTAAGGGGCGGTAATATTATAATGAGATCCCTTTGCAACGCCACTATGGGAGCAAAATCAGACGTGCTCGTTTTTTCAGACACTTGCAGAAAAAGGCTTACCAAAACAAAGTTACTGGGTTAATCTTTTTCACCTTTCCTTGTTTGGTAGATGCACTGGGGACCTGATTATAGCACTTAAAACCTGGAAAAGTCAGATTTTCATGTCACCTTTAACTCGGCGGTAGATTTACTCACGGGACAGTGCACTTATTCACAATCGCAAAAGTACATTATTTGCATGTACTTTAAATCCTTGCCGGTTAATTTAAACGTTAAACGTTTCAATCACGTGCTGTTCTGACGTGCGCCTTTTCTGAGCGCATACACCCGAAGCACGCGCACTTAAAAGCCTGTCAAACAGCGCCCAATTACTGAACTAAGTTATCTTTTGTGCTAATACTGTCAAAACACACAAGGTTTAAATATAGACTCAGTTGGTTATGTCTAAAATTAAAGTAAACGGTTGAGATAAAAATGAACACATGCCTGTATATTAGATGCGTGCAGGTCTTAAAGGGACTGTATTAAACATGCAGCTGACTGTCATTAAAGGGATATTTCACTCTAAAATGTATTTTCTGTCATTATTACTCACTCTCATGTTGTCCCAAACCTGTATTAATTTCTTTCTTATGCTGAACACAAAAGAAGATATTTTGAAGAATGTGGGTAACCAAACAGTTGCTGGTCCACATTGAATTTGATAGTAGGAAAAAAATACTATATGGAAGTCCCTGTGGACCAGCAACTGTTTGGTTTTCCACATTCTTCAAAATAGCATTTATTTTCAGTAGAAGAAAGAAACTAATTCAGATTTAAAACAACTTTTGAGTAAATGATCGTATAAAAATAAAACACTATGACAGAATTGACAGACAGATGACAGAATTTTTCTTTTTGGTAAACTATTCCTTTAACGTTAATTAAAACAACAAAACGCAAAGAGAAAAATCCCTCACTGCTTATGAATGAAGAACTTTAATACAGTTGCTTAGGGAATCAGTTTATATAGGCCTAGTGTTTTATTTTTATATTTGTTCATTCAATTTTCTTGACCATAAGGCCAGTGTGACAGGGAGGACCTGACTGTCTATCGAACTGCAGAGTGGAATTAAGGAGTGTTGAGCCACTCAACGCTTCAGCGAGAGGAGCTCTAGCTCAGAGGACGTGCATGATGGTTAAGGAAAGACTCAAATCTCAGGAGACCCCTCAGTAGCATACCCTGGCCAGAGGATAGGGAGCACGTCACGAAGCATGTACTCTGAAGAGTACTAGCCCGCGAGAAGGACCCGCAGGTCCTGAGGTTGCAGCGTTACACTGGGGACCTGACGTTGGGAGGCTTCTGCAGAAGCCTGGATCCAGTATCAATGGGTGAAACCATCACTATAATTGGTCAACAGCAGAAGGTTCTGACTTAGCAGGGGGGGGTTCAAACCCAAAAAGTCAAACAGAACAGGTCCGAGTAGCACTGCCGAGAAAGGCTAGTATTGAATACACAATATTCTTGGCCTCCTTAAACGTCTCGACCACTGTCTCTACGGAAGTGCCAAAAAGCTCAGAAGGGGAAATTGGCGCATCAAAAAGAAAGTCCTTCTCTTTCAACCCGATATCCACCAGATTCACACACAGATGTCTCTCCGTAAGCAAGATATGTGGTGCGATGCCACCTTATCAGGGGATAAACCCTGACCCTTATCCAGGTCTTTCAGCAGATCAGTCTGATAAGCCTGAAGCACCGCCATGGTATGCAACGAGGCTGCAGCCTGACCTGCTGCCGTGTATGCCCTGCCATTCAAACGAGATGTATCCTGAAGGGGGTTGGACGGCAGGGAGGGAGCCTAAAGAGAAGATATCTCGCCCATAGAGAGAGATAGCAGGCCAGCGTTTCTTCAACAGGGGCATCTTCTCATAACCATTCTCATGCATCCCCTCAATGTTGGCATAACTAGTATACTGGAATCTATGGATGCGAGACGAGAAAGGATTCTTCCAAGCCTTCTCGATCTCCACATGGAGATCGGGAAGAAATGGAAGGCTCACCTGAGCTGGAGGGCAATAGCTGAGTTTGCTATATATGGCCTCGAGGCGTCACCTTCTTAGCCCGCTTCCACGGCAAGTCAAGCCAAGTCGTGGCGCAATCCATAACCTCAAGCAGCTCATCATACGCCGGGCAGGATGATTGGAAGGACTCAGTCTCAACTTCTTCGTCCTCATCTGACATCTCCTGCTCATCCTGACTTGGAGCCAGCAGAGCACTAGCCGAGATAAGAGAGATAACATCGTCGTCCAGCAGCTCCCTCTCGTCCGTGACTGATGAGTACGAAAGGGAAAGATCCTTTTTCAACTCATCAGCCAGGTCCACCTGCGATCCCCACAAGCTCTTTTTCCTCCATGCCTCAGCAGCGGAGGGTCCTGAACCACAGGGAGCTGATGGCTGTCCCTCTTTCCTCGAAAAGAGAGACAAACGAGAGCGGAGCTTTTTCATAGGAAAACGCTCACAGTGCATGCAAACTGCCCCCTCGAGGACATCGCGCACATGCTCTTTGCCCAAACAAAAGACGCAGAGATTGTGTGTGTCATCAGGAGTCAAATAATGAGGACACGGATCCACACACTTCTTAGACACTTAACTAGTGCTCGCCATGATGAAGAAGAGTAATCGTCCTTACCGGAAATGCACGCTTCAAACAAAACAGTCCTTGCAGACAAAGAAGAGGATGATATGTTCTCTCGGTGCCCTTTTATACTGTGGTTGCGCCGGGTGACGATGTCACAGGCTGTTGCCGGCCAATGTTGTTGTTGTGTTTAGATGTATGCTTCAGACACGCTGAAGGCGTTCCCCATAGCGACCTCTAGAGGACGCAGTTCGAAGTTCCCTCGAAAGAGAACTGAACGCCATCATTGACAGATAATATATATTTTTTATTTAATTAACATTTTAACATACACATATATATATATATATATATATATATATATGTATATGTGTGTGTGTGTATATATATATACTGTATACACACACACACACACACACACACATTGTAATTGATAACTGCCAGACAGCTTTTCCGGTCTCTGTGGCCGATTCTTTACCAATATATGCTGCATTATGGACTAGACCATAAGACATTAACTCAAAGGTGCCAGCCCTTTCCTGACTCTGCAAGACAAAGTGCATCTTAAGTCCAAAGCCAATTCGTTTGCAGAAGCCAATTTTCTGATAACTCTACTATTTTCTCCATACAATTCCATTAAACAGCCAGTAAATATAATGTGGCTAGTCTGAGGTCAAGTCAAGTCAAGTTACCTTTATCTATATAGAGCTTTTAACAATACAGATTGCGTCAAAGCAGCTTTACAGTATTAAATAGCAAAATAGTGTGTCATACTATATTCTGAAGTCCTAGATACTAGTATTTTCTGAGGGCCTATATACTAATACTGAGGGCCTATATACTAGTAATATCTAGTAAACTGGTTAGTAGATATCCACACTAACATGTGTACATTTGTGAGTCATGCTCATATTGTGAGTATATGCATACCTTGTCAAAAGCAGGAAATACAACTGGTTGTGTTGAGTATTCTGGAAAGCTTATATGTAGTTCTGTGGCATTCTCGGTGTATGGATTGGTCTGAATTGTCCCAATAGGGTTCAACATCTCTTCCAGCTCATCTGCAACACACAGAAAAAAAAGGCATTTCCTGAGCACACTTCCTTCCTTTACAAGACATCAGTGCACAACCTTGCACAAAATGAAGTATTACTCACAGACGAACTGATAACTCACACAGTGAGTTCACTCACTTTTTCTAACTTCACAGACACACACCCTATGACACAACTGCCCAGCAGTTTACACAACCCTGTAGTCTAAATCAAACCCTATTAAGCTGAGAATGTAAGTGTGTGTGTGTTCTCACCAGGAAAAGAGGACCAGCAGTGGAGTATAATGTCGCCAGTCTTCAGCTGCCCTCTGTAGTCAAACACCATTGTGTTAACCCATGCTATTGGGTAGTGCTAAAGAGAAAATATAACGTGCAAAACATACGATTAATGAATGTGTAAGCATCACTGATGAAAAAAGTTAATGTGTTGATCTCACCACTTTCCCCGCCTTGCGGATAGTCTGGTATTTGTTCAGGTGTGTGTTCTTGGTTGACCTCTGTTTCTTCACTTTGTCCATAACAGCGTAAATGGCAAAACAGAGGCGGGCCATTCGGGGCAGGTCACAAACAGCGATGTCAAATTCCAGTGTTTTGTTCCACACATGCTCAGATCGACTGCTGCTCTCACTGCTGACCGCTGGCTTACACAACAGTTCTGTACCATGAAAGAGCCCTGCTCGAACCTGGATCTACATGTATCCAAGTTACAAAAAAAGAAAAAGAAAAATTAGCATGACATACAATCCTTTTTGGACTACATTATTCAAAGTTATGTGCAAATGTTTTTTCCTATCCAGGTATAACAAAAATAGACGTCTGACTGACATTATTGCTAGCATTTTATTTGCTTTGTCTGACTAACAAGGTAATTGGATTTGGTAAAAAACAAACAAAAAAAAAAAAAAAGTAGGGGTACTGTTAGATTAACATATAAAGTGAAGCCTGTAGCATAATGTGCATAACAGGATGTTACTTTGCTCAAACATGGTGAACAATTCTATCACAATAAGCTAAAATGCATAATGCGTAAAGTGTTAAAGATTGTTATACACTAAAAGTGTAAAAAAGGGGAAGTCGTGGCCTAATGGTTAGAGTCGGACTCGTAACCCAAAGGTTGTGGGTTCGAGTCTCGTACTGGCAGAGATTGTAGGTGGGGGGAAGTGAATGTACAGCGCTCTCTCCCACCTTCAATACCACGACTGAGGTGCCCTTGAGCAAGGCACCGAACCCCCAACTGCTCCCCGGGCGCCGCAGCATAAATGGCTGCCCACTGCTCCGGGGTGTGTGTTCACGGTGTGTGTGTGTGTGTGTGTGTTCACTGCTGTGTGTGTGCACTTTGGATGGGTTAAATGCAGAGCACCAATTCCAAGTATGGGTTACCATACTTGGCCACGTCACTTCACTAAAAGTTGCTTGGAAATCTTTTTACTATGAACGTGTCTGTGCATATACTGTACACAGAACTGAGGGCTACTCTAAAAATACTGTCTGTGGTATTTCCACACATAGAAAAGCACATTGAACTTATGCATTATCATTATATTTCTGTTTTTGTTTCACTTATTTCATGTCCTCTATAGACTTTTATAAATAGACATTAACAACCCAATCTCAACTATTTTAAGATGTGGTGATTTCATATGATTTTTGAGAATGCATGAATGATCATACAAATCCATAC